CTTCCTATCTTCCTTCCTCCCTCCCTTCTTCCTCCCTTTTCCTTTCTATCTTTCTTCCTCCCTCCCTCCTATCCTCCCTCCCTATCTTTTTCTTCTTTCCCATCTTCCTTCCTTCTTCCGATCTATCTTCCTCCCTCCCTCCCTCCTTCCTATCTTTTCTTCCTTCCTTCCCACCTTTTTCTTCCTTCCCATCTCTTCTTCCTTCCTTCCTTCCTGATCTACCTATCTTCCTCCCTTCCCTTCCCTCTTTTTTCCTTTCTATCTTCCTTCTTTCCCCTCCTTCCCTTCCCCCCAAGGGGACGGGGAGGGGAAGCAAAACTGAGTCAGGGCTCAAAAGAGATCGGACCGCCCTCCAGGGCAGCGAGGAAGAGGAGGCCTTACCTTGGAGTAGGGATCAGGGAAGTTAAACTCATTCAAGCAGTGTTCCCTTGTATCCAGTAAACTTCTAACTGTTAGGGTGCCGTATGCGCTGAGAAGGAAAAGGGAGGAGAAATAAAGTCCGTTATATTATAGAAAAAGAAGATTCTTCTGCTTTTAAAAACCACCCCTGGCTTATTTCTAGCAAATTTTGCTCTCTCAGTAGCTCTGGCCAGGATTTGTAGAGGAAGAAAGATGCTATCACAAACATCGGAGTTTGTTTGTTTGTTTTCCATTTTGCTCCTCTTATTTTCTGGTATCCCCTTTTTATTAACACAACCAGCCTGCCTTACTTCTTCGTAAGTTAGGGCACATTCTTGCTTTAAATTAACAAAAAGCCAGCTAGAAGACTTTGGCCACAGCCCCTGAACCGGCAGCAGGGCAGAATAGGTGAAAATGGAAAAGAAATAAAAGAATCATTAAATAGGATGATCTTTTGCTACAAAACTGGCAAGAATAACCAACCCCTTTCGGCCCAGAAGACTGCAAATATACTGAATTATGGCCAGAGACCAAGGAACTGGCAAAATACAGTATAATCTGGCCAATTATAGTACGATATTTTTTTTTTAAAGTAAAAGAAAAGCAGGAATTATGATGGACAGTGAGAAGTCGACAAATCGGCCAGAGAGAGGAGTTGGCAATTATGCTATTAATATTAATTAAGCTAATTAAGGTCTCTTGGCTTGAGCAGGGGGTTGGACTAAAAGACCTCTGAGGTCCTTTTCTTCTCCCCCCCCCTCCCCCAAGAAAGACCCAGCCCCAACTTACAACGGCTGCTGTCGGAGTGTTTGAAGTTTCTCCCGGTATTTGTGTCGGAATTTGTCGGCTCGCTCAGCTGCGTCGACCAAATCGGGTTGGCTGGCTGCGGCACGTTTAGCGACCTGAACGAGAGAAGGAAAAACTTGATGCAGGTGGCTGTATTAAATTCCAGATTCTTCATCTAGTTTAATGGGTTACCCCTCCTTCCCTCCCCCCCCCCAAAAAAAATCTCCTTTTCCTTAATTCCTAATTGTCCCCCTAAAATGCTTCAAGAGATTCTCCTGCCTGTCATGGTTTTGGGACAACTGTGAACTGAATGACTGAGAAGATTTTAAGCTACGCAATTTGGGGTGAACACCCTTGGAATGGTGTGAGAGTAGGAAGGGATTTCTAGAGGGGGAAAAATTGCAGACTACAGGTAACCCCGAGGACACAGTGTAAACCTCCAAGTGGCCTCAAAGACCCTATAAAAGGATGCAAATGACCAGCTGTCTGCAAGGAATATAAATATAATATATAAATCCTTCCACTCTCCATCATCCAGTCGGAGCTGAGGAAGCTTCTCGGAGGAGAAAAGAATCATCATCAAAAGAAAAAAAACAACCAGAAAGTCCAGTTGCCTCCTGAAAAAAGCACCTTTGGGGCGGCTCCAAGCACTTGGGATCGGCTCCTTCCTGGGCTGTTGTGGCCCAGGGGGGTGGGTGCATCCCCCACCTCCATCCTCACCGAAAACGGATGCTTACCCCATCCAAAGACTCCTCAAAGCACGAGAGCCAATACTGCCGGGCCAGGATGTCGTCGGTCAAATCTACGGTGTCGGCGACGTAAGTGGAGGGATCCTGCAGCAAAGGCAGATTAACCAGCATCCGCTCCAGACGATCCATTTCCAACATGTCAAACTGGAAGAAGAAGAAAAAGGAGGAGGAGGAGGAGGAGGAGGAGGAGGAGGAGGAGGAGGA